TTCTCAATGGCTCAACTTTAATGTCACCTCCTTCATTGAAGCCTTCCTCAAGCAGCCCATTCATTAGATATGATGCTTGTTTTAAACCCCAATACCTTCATTTTGTTGCTCAGCATTTCTTTTTTACCACCTACCACATTCCATCTTCTACTATTGCCATTCATGTACTTGCATTACCTCCCCATGTCCCTGCATTTCCAATAAACCATGTGCTTCCTCGAGACACACCTTTATCTGGCTTGCCTACATATGTATTAGGTTCCTGAACCTAAAAATCATGTGAAAGAATATGACTGACATTTGGAAAATAAATTGTTGATTTTAAATTCAGTGTGAGAGTGAATGAAGGACAGAAGCCTATTATGAACTCTGAGAGAATCTGGAAAATCCTTAAAAAAAATAGGATTAAAGCTATCTGTAAAAAACAAAAAATAAGAAAAGAATAAAAGGAAAAGAAATAAAAGTAAAAAAAATAATAATAATAAAAGGGGGCTTGGGTTGTGGCTCAGTGGTACTGCACTTGCCTGGCACATGTGAGACACTGGGTTCAATCCTCAGCATCACATAAAAATAAGTAAATAAAATAAAGGTATTGTGTCTGTCTACAACTAAAAAATATTTTTAAAAAAAAAGAATAAAAGGAAGATAGAACAACAAAACAAAACAGCCAGCCAAGACATTTACATTACCTCACCATATTCCCAATAGACCATGGTACTTCCTAAGACAGGACGACATCCGACTCATCTTCATATTTTTTTTCTTTTTCTGTAGTACTGGGGATTGAACCCAAGGGCACTTTACCACTGAGCTACATCCCCATCCCAGTTTATATTTTATTTTGAGAGAGGATCTCTCTAAGTTGCTGAGGCTGATCTTAAACTTGTGATCCTATCATCTCAACCTCCTGGGATTACAGACGTGTGCCACAGTGCCTGACCATCTTCAATGTTTTAGGATTCCTGGACCCAAAAGAAAAACACAAGGAAAAAAACAAACCAGAAACTGGAGGAAATAAAAATGTTCATTTTCATGTCCAAATATTACAGTAAATCCATAGACACCAATATCAAAGATATCCTTTCCACTTTAGTTTCAGAGGCTAGGTAAGAGAGATTCAGAATGACCTTTGACAAGAGGAAGGAGAACAACTTTTGTTAATTCAGTAAAATGGTACTATTTTAATAGAACCATGGAAGGAACATGCATTCATGGATAGAGAAAAGACTTCTCTCTTAAAATTCCTTTTCAGTTGCTACTCAACTCTGTTCAAATATAACTTGTTTTTGGAATTCTACCAGGCAGCAAAAACATATTATACTTGGCTTAGAATTAAATGACAGATAAGCATTGGTGTGGATGCTAAAAGGTCTTGTGACCACTTGTGCTTAATATTCTTTAAGCTTTTTTGCTCTTCAAAGAAGGTTAAACAGTGGGCCCTTGATAGGGTATTCTCTTTGCTTAATACAGGACATTAGCTGCCATGTGATGCATGGACAACAGCAAGCCAATCCCCTGTTCACTGAGACTATGAAATGAAAATGTGCTCCTAAATAGAAAGTCTGGCTTCTAACACAGACCCAATTTTTGGAAGCCTGTCAGCAAGGGAGGCAGAAGATGTACCAATTTCCAGCAAGAAAAATGCACAGGGGCTAGGGATGTGACTCGATGGTTGAGTGCTTGCCTAGCATGCACATAGCCCTGGGTTCAGCCTCCAGTGTGGAGCGGTAGGTTAGGAGAAGAGAAGAGTGTTCTGAGTGTAAGTACATCTAGGGCACTCATGTTCCAGACACTCATAAAAGAGAACAGAGGACTTAGGAATTGGAGACACTGAAGTGTGCACCAACTGGTATGAATCCAGGTATACCTGAGACTTGCAGCCACTGAAAGGTAGGTCTCAAAGAATCCTCCTTTCATCAGGTTTCCACCAAATTACAAACTTAAATGTTAGGTTCCATCTATGTCCTTCCTTCCTATGAAACAGATTTTCCTGTCAACAAAATTTCAGTTTCCGATCCCTTTGAGAAGAAGACAATGTCATGGGAAGGGCCGTGGACATAATAGTGGGAGTCTATTATACAGAAATTTTAGAAAAATGTACCTTCCAGAGATGACAACTATACTATTATTACCTTGAGGTAGCCCCAGGCTCCAGCCTCAATCAGGAAATTCTGCAGTCAATTGGAACCTAAAAAGTTAAGGCTTCACATCTTTCATCATCCTAAATAAGGAGCAAGGGAGGGCTAATCAAAGGGTTCTGCTCAGGGCCACATGCACATCCACTTTTACATAAATGCTTCCTGATGATAAAAGGTTGTATGGACTGGGAGGATCTTACATATAGAATAGAAGGGAACCTGGCTCTGTCTTCTAGCCCCTGTGCCCCGTCTTTGCCTCCAATCCTCCATCTCTATTCCTTCATCTCGGCTTTAGGTCTGCCCTGGGCAGTTGCTTCCATGCCTGAACTCCACAAGGGATCCTTGGAAGGTAAAAGTGTGCTGACCCCTCTTTTCAGGAAAAGACAGAACAATCTACTCTAAAAGACAGAAAAAGCATAAGAAATGGAAGGCCCCCTGTCAGGGTTGTAGTATACAATGTTTCTTTTTTACTTATTTATTTTTATTTTGCTGGGGATTGAGCTCAGGGCCTCTCTCCCATGCTAGGCAAGCTCTCTACCACTGAGCCCACAATGTTTATTTAACCAACCAACAAGTAGGAAAACAGGACACTCCCACCAGGGTGCACATTGTGAGCCATGGCCTGAAGTGGTCATGGGGCCCCTCTTCTAACCCCAACAGCCTGAGAATCTTTGGGGATTAATTTTGGTGACTTAGCTCCCTTAGGGTCTGATTAATTTCCTTTCCCTGCAGAGGCTCATTCTTAAAAATCTGACATTAACCTAAATTGTTCCGATCCAAAAATGAATGAGGTTAACGATTCTCTGGCTATGTTTTATTCCCCCGCCCTCTGCTTTGGAAAACCACTCTGATTTAAAGGATATCGGTCAATAAACCTAAAATGTGTTAAGGCTGTTTATTAACTTGAGCTTTAAACTAACTGGGTCAACTTATTCAGTGGTAGCTCCAGGGAGGTCACCCATAAGCGATGACTGGAATCCTTTCGTAATTATAGTCATGGAAAATGCCAGCTGCAAAACAATTTTCTTCAATTTGTGGGTATTAAGTGCTCATTAAGTGGATGATACTCCACTACAGTGCGACCTGTGATGAACAGCAATGGGGTAAAGTAGGAAGGGTTAGCACACTGCAGACTCACCCCACTGCAGGGACACCTCTCAGGGCACTGTCCCGTAAAGTCACACCAAGTGTACACACTTTAGTTCCAAATCCAAGGGGACACTGGCTGAATTCACACCAGCAGGAAAACTGAAATCGGCCAACTAGGCTGCTGCTCCTCAGCAGCACTAAAAGAGACACATAAACTCAGCCACCCAGTAGGATTTGGGGCAATGCTGAGGCCCAGGCAGAGGAAGGGAGAGAAAACCCACAGTCACTTTTCACTCTGGACTCAAGCCAGGCATCCTTAAGATCTCCATCTCTCAAGATGGAGAGAATGGGAGAGGAACTACAATTGTTGAGAGAGATATGAGGATTAAAAAGAACCTCAGGGGTTTGCACCCATCACGAGTGAGAGAATGAGGCTAGGGTGGTAGCCAGGTGTCAGGAAGACAGAATATCAAATCCCAGCCTCTGTCACTTGTGTCTTACCTTGTGGCCTACCATATGTATGCCAATTAATCTCTCTAGGCCTCCAATTCCCAAATGTTAAAATGGGATGAACCTGGGTTGGGATGTTGCTTAGGGACAGAGCACTTACCTAGAATGCACGAGACCCTGAGTTCAACCCCCAGAACTGCAAAAATGAAGATGAACTACACAATTCTCTCTCCCAGAGGGAATTATGGAGAAGATGCTTCTAAGAAGGTGAACTCAACTCTAACATTACCAAGCAGGGAAACAGGCCAGTCCCATCTTATACTTGTACCTGGAGCATCCCAGACAGATTGCCCTGTCTAGAAGGGCCTGGGAGGAGAAATGTCCCACCCCCAGGATGGCTAAGGGGCCTATTCTTCATGCTCCAGAATGCTCTACTGGATGAACATGCTTTCTCAAGAATCCCAGTCCCCACAGCTCCCTCCCACACCTCCCCTACTTCTGTGGGTGCATGCCAAGTAGAAAACACCAGCGTTTGATATGGTGTGGTGCCAACAACAAACCAGATAGCATTTTCTCAGAAACTAACAAGGAAAAACAAATGCTCCTAAGGGAGAACTCAAAAGCTCCTGCTAGAAATTTCTCTCCTTGTTGTGGGAAAAGCAAGAGAAGATAAGGAAAAGAAAAAAAGAGAGATGATTGAATTTTTTTCTTAATAAAAAAAAGTAATCATGAACTCTTTCAGAAATACAAAGGAATATAAAGAATAAAAGAACAACCTGCATCCATAATCAAGCCTAAGAAACAAAATATTACCATCACTTTTGAAGGCTTTTTGCAGGGAGAAAATCCCTGAACAGGCCATCTGTGCAGGTGTACCAAGGAGAGTCCCAATCACAAACCTAAAATGGGATGACATTGGACACGAAGGTCCAATGTGGGTGGGATGATCCCCCACCCACAATTACTACCACTTTCAGTTGCCTTGGGCTTTCAAAGCTGGCCTCCAAAAGCTGACTAACAGGAGGCAGAAAGCTGGACAACTGTGGTGGAGATGGGGATGCCTACGAGTCTTTGGACTCTGAATCTTTCCTGTGTCAAGCAGGGAGAGACTTTCTATTGCTATTCCTAACTGGAGAGCCTCAGGCCACACAGTGCCTCCTACAGCTGTCTGGGGATCCTGTGGTAACTGCTCCCATCCACACCCAGCCACACCAGATCCTGGTTGGGCTGAAACTGGACCTTTTTATTCACAAGAGAATACTGCATTTAGCAACAGTTGGCAAGATTTTTTTTCTCTTTCAGGCCCATCTCTGGGAAACACAATAAGAAAACACAAAGCCTATACAAACATATCATTGCTGTGAGCTTGGAAGCTGCCATATTTCCTCGGGATATATTTCTGGTCTGGAAAAACTAACAAGGCTGTGGCATCCCAAAGAGAACAGAACATCCCTAGTGGGGAAGAACAGTGGGTGGAGCTGCAGAGAGGTAAATGTGTCTTATGAAAGGATTTTCTCGGTCTGGGTGCTTTCTCCAGGGAAGAAAAAAAAATTACAGATCTGTGTCTTCATTTTCCATTGCTATAACTGAATACCTGAGACTGAGTGATTTATAAAGAAGAGAAGTTTATTTGGCTCATAGTTCTGGAGGCTGGAATGACTGAATGCATAGCACCAGCATCTGATGATGGCCTTTTTAAAGCTCATCATAACACACTGGAGGGCATCACATGGTGAGACAGAACAAGTGTGCTAACTTGGGTCTGTCTCTCTTCCTTTTGTTATAAAGTCACTAATGCCATCATAGAGGCTCCCCCCACGATCTCATCTAACGTGAATTACCTCCCAATGGCTCCTCCTCGAAATACTATCAACAAATGAATTTAGGGAATTAAATGTCTAACCTGTGAGCCTTGGAGAGATACCTTCAAACCACAGCAACCTGTGGCATGAACATCTCTTCAGAAATATGCACTGGGGGATATCCTCAATCCCTGTGCCTATAACAGAGAGGCCGGGGATGGACTTAAGTTCCAGGGCTCCTAGCTCTTCAAGTCCAGCTTCTCTTCCTTTGGTGACTCCCTCCTCTAGAAATGCTTTTCTCCTCCAGCTTCCATTCTGAACTGACCATTAGAAATATAGACTTTGAGCCCTCAGGACCAAATTAAGATCATACTGAACTCTGTCAAGAAAGAAAATAAATTAAAAAGGGTGTGGGGGGTGGCTGGGTATGTAGCTCAGTGGTAAAGCACACCTAGGTTCAATCCCTGGTACCATAAAATAAAATTAAATTAAAAAAAGAAAGAAAGAAAGAAAAGAAAATTCACCCAAGAGAGAAAGTTAGAACTTCCTTCAAGATGTTACTCTGAGAATCCTTTTCTTCTGCCTTGCCTAAGGATTATCCTCCTTCCTATGGCCCCTATAATATCCTGAAAGTTGTCCAAAGGTCACATGGAACAATTGCATCCCCTTCTATTCTTTTTTGAGTCCCAGGATCAAAAACCTAACACTGAGCTCCCATCACTGCAAAAATCACTGTTGAGTCCATATTCCACAAAGCTACTAGCTCAACATCACTTTGGGAATAATCGTAACCACCTGACATTCAAATATCTTTAATCACCCCTCACTGGCAATGAATCAAGTCCGTCCTTACCCTGATGGTCGAGACACTCATGATCTGCCTCCAACACCATTCCTTCTTTCATCTCCAATTACTTCCTCACACTTACCTAATTCTTCAGTCAAAGTCAGAGGCACCTTGCAATATTTCTTCCATGAGCCCTGTGTTCTCTGAATTCACTGCTGAAATGCTGAACCATTGCTCTCCACCTGTCAGAATCTCACCCATCCTCCAAGCCAACTTCTCCACAAAGGCTTTCGGGCTTACCCCAGATGAAAGGGACTTGTCTAAGTTCTACAACAGTTTTTGTAACCTGCCAGAGCTCCCATTACTTTTTCTTTGCCAGTTCTACAAATGTCTGACTATGTCTTCTATCTTTGCTATATTTTGGATAAGTGTCTCCCAGTGGCTCATGTGTTAAAGGCTTAGTCACCATCCTGTGGCACTAATGGCAGGTGGTGGAACCTTTAAGAGGTGGGGCCCAGTGGAAGGAAGGAAGGTGGTAGGGTGTGCCTCAAAACAGGTAGTAGGAATTATCCCCTTTCTTTTCTCTTTTTGCTTCCCAGACAAAATGAGAGGAGCAGCTTCCTCTGCCATGTGCTCCTGCCATGACATACTGCCTTGTCACCGGCCCAGAAATAATAATGCCAACTGACTATGGACCAAAACCTCCAAAACTTTCCTCCTTTTAAGTTGATTATCTTAGGTATTTTGTTACAGTAACAGAAAGCTCCTCCACTGGTTTAATCCATTTGCTAATGTTTCTTATGTGCATTATGTTCTAGGTTCTATAAAGGAGCAAGAACTGAATGAACAGAGAAGATAAGGACCCTTGACCTCAAGGGACTTACAATCTGATGGGGAAATAAATAACAACATCAGCATCCAATAAATACCCAAAGGACAGTAGCTGGTTTCATCTTCATAAATCCAGCAAAGAACAGATGGCCACAAGGATACTAAATAAACACAAGAAAAGAGCCACAGAATTGGTTGTAAACATACTGTCAAGGTAGGAGCACACTACAGTGACCTGTGCACACTATATTTTGAGATGACTTTGAAGGAAATGGTATCCTATAGACAGTCCAGCAAATTCTCCCCGTCTCCAGTCTTACCTCTATTCCTACCCCCAGAAATTTTGCTGGGTACCCTACAAACCTACAGATGTTAGAGTCTGAGTAACAGGAAGCAAATGAAAGGAGAAGTAGTCATTCTCTAACGATAGATATTCCCTGTCCACCCCAGGTCCCTACCTCAGTATCTCTAATCTGAGGACTTTCTGTGCCCATGTCACCTCTACTCAGAAAAGAAAATAAGCTCCAAGCGAAAGTCGCCAATTGGTCCACGGGGTGAGGCCAAATCAATGCAGCTCTCCAGCAAGTCTGTTTATTTTATACCCTTAGAGAAACACCCCTGAAAATGACCAACTTGTGTCAATTACAGAACACAAGAGCCTGGTGCTGTCAATGGGAGAAGATAAGTGTAAATTACAGCACACTGAACTCCAGAGAATTAGCTGTTAAGTGGGACAATGGGCTAAAAGATGTTGTTTAGAGCACCTCATTAATAAAATTCAAAATTGTTTTCTGCAATTATGTGCAATCATTGGTTATTTTACCCCCAGCCAAGAAGAGTCCCCACTGCCAATCTATCGCTTTAGTTTCAATTGCCAAGAAAATTTCCCTGGCATAGAGGTGAGAATAGAAGAGGGAGCTTGGATTCAGATTCCAGAAGCCTGTGATTAGCTAACAGAGAATTATCTGTTGAAAAAGGAAACCTGCTGAAAAGGAAACTATCGGGTGTCTCTCCAAGGTAGTGCTCGGCAGCCCACAGCCCACCTCCGCGTGGGGTTCCCAGTTGGTTTTGCAGCCAGAAAGCAAACGGAAGAACTGCCCTCTCCCTTCATGTTCTCTCCTCCTGTGGCTCCTGCTTGCTTTACATTTCTTTCAGTGTAACAGTGTTTGTGCCATTCTGGGTCAGGTACTAACTAATGCCTGCAGAAATGAATGCACTTCTTGATCAAAAAGGATGATGGTGTGAAAATCGGATGTGTTTGTGTGTTTGGGAGGAGTTGTAGGAAATTGGGTGATGGAAAGTAGAACCTACCAATTTAGCACAATAGACAGTCTTATCCATAGTGAATGCCCCAGAAATTCCATCATGTTTCCTCTGGGAAGCTCTGCCTTAATTCCATGCATCCTATTCTGTTTGCATCATTCATTCGTGCATTCATCATTCAGCAAAGCTCCACTTAACCCTCCTCTATTCTGTGCACCTACTAGGCTTCAGAGTCACAGACTTCTCCTGCTGAAGACCTAGGCTGACATCTTCAAAACACAACACCCCGTTTAAATGTGACCATGCTAATTCAGACTTGATCATTCCAACCCATTTAAATCATTGGGACTTGTCAATCTGTGATATCTGTATGTTTGCATTATAGATGACATTATGCTCTCCGTTTCTTTCTGTATTTCCCATCATCCCTACAATGGGCATATGTTACTTTAGTAAACAACAACAAAAGTGGCTTGACTTCTTATTTAAAAATATAACTTTTTATTAGCTAATTTGAGATATTTAATTTTTAAAAAGGGCAAAGCAGATGGGAACAGAAGTGGCCTGCCATCAGAGGGTATGTGGGAATTTACAGTCCTACCTAAGGCCCAAGAAACTTGAACAGCTACTGTAAAGAGCGGTGGGAGAATCCAGCATTGAAGTAGATTTGTCTAGTATCAACATGGTCTATGAGAATGCAGTCTGTTCCTCAGAGCAGCCACGGGGGTTAATTCTTCAGATCAATAACCACATACATAGCTATGTGCTAAAGTGCCTTGGGCTACTCCACAGCCTGAAGTTGTTCTTCGAATGTCAAGAACAAATTATTGCATGAAGCAAACACATTATTTGATTCAATAATTGTCTTCTAGTCACACTTCCTTGTCCCTACCCACAAGGAAAATCAACTTTGGCCATACCACATGAAATGCCTTATCCTTTAGGACAGACACAAACAATGGAAGAAGTGGGGACCACACTGGTATCAGGAGGGCTCCAGGCTTCACATCCCATTTCTGGGCCCAGTGGCCCCATTTCTGCCCACCTGAGCACAAGATTTTCACAGTTATGCTTTAGGCCTTTAAAGGGACTTGGAGAATAAGAAAGGGTTTCTTCTGGTATTTCAGGGCATTGAGTTTGAGTATGAAAACCCCAGAGAGGAACTCGCCATGCTTTACCTGGTTCTCTAAGCATAGCAAAGGCCAGTAATCAGGAAAGTTTCCTCGGGAAGGTTCCTCTGATGGATCAGCCCAGAACAAGATAACAGCAAGCTTGGGAAAAACTTGGTGGCTAGTCTATGGTTGGTGGCAATGTCTATGGTTATTTTGCTTTCCCAAGGGAATGCAGCAGATGTGTGATTATTGTGGAAAGGCAGTTTGCAACCACATCATTCTTATGGTAATTGGCGATACTGGTTGAGCACATTATTGCTATTATTGTGTACCTCAAGCATTATTTCCCTTAGATTCTTACGCAAAGATCCAATAAGACAGTATTATTTCTGTGCCTTAGCTGCTTTTTTCTATAAAATAGGAATTTAGTGTACTTTCCGCACACCTTAATGATAATACCACTGTGAATTCTAGAAATGATTCTGGCATACAGTACTTGGAATAAACTGCATCTACGAAAACAATAAACCATATTAATGGTCCTTTTAATAGATTCTAGTACCCTGGTGTGCACAGAATTTAGTGTATTAAGGGAGAATGTGCTGGAAGCTACTCTAGTGGCCTAAATTTACAGAGGATTCTAAGTACACATGTTGACTCGCTTTTACAGACCCAATCAGGGCTGTTAAATGAGCAATCTAGAAACATCACACAAAATAAAGCCTCCTACAAATAAAAGCTAAAAACATGAGATTGTAAGGGGCTTATTTGTTTTGTGTTTTAGACAGAGCCTTAGGAAGAATTTACAAGATCCTTAGAATAATGAAGATGTATTTCACTACAGTTTTGAATTAGTACAGTTCCTGGGTAATGCTCCAAGTAGCATGTTTACCCTTGCCATTGTATGTTAGAAGTATTTTACATTTTCCTCTGATTTTTCAGGGAAAATGAGTTTCCCCTGAGTCTCAGGGCAGACTGTGGACTGGCCCTTTCAGCCAGGCTGGCACAGGAGTCATAGAGACTGATTAAATGCATTTTACATTGTGAGATGGATATGGGCCTTTGAGGACCAGATGTGGATGCTATAATTCAGATGTGGAATGTTTCCCAAAGGCCCATGTATAAAAGGTTGGTCACAGCCTGTGGCATTTTGGGGAGGTGGGGCCTAGTGGAAGTAAGTTGGGTCACTGGGGCATCCCTTGAAGAGTTATTGAGACCCCAGCCCTTGCCACGCTCTGCTTTCCCAGTCACCGTGCAGTGAGCAGTTCCCTCTGCCACACGTTCCCACCATGGTACACTGCACGGCCACAGGCCCAAAGCAATAGAACCAAACAACAAAGACTGAAACTATGAGCCATAATAAACCTTTCCTCCTTATAAGTTCCCTTGTCTCTGATGTTTGTTACAGTAATGCCAAGCTGACTAACATTTATTCTTAGTGCTCCATCTAGAATATTTCATGTGTGAATTATTATCATACAGGAAGTCCCAGTGTTCTTTCTATTCGTTCCTCCCTCCCAGGCCTGACACAACTTCCACATTCCCTTCCATGTTCCCACTCATTATTTTCCTGCCTCACAATTCCCTGTACCATGTGTGACAGTGATTATAGGAGAACACCCGGAATGAACCTAACACATCTCTGTACAAGGATGTGACCTAATTGCAGACTCTCTGTAAGCAGCTTGCACACTGGCATGAACAATCTGGGGATTAACATCTTCCTGGTGAACTATATCCAGTTCCTAACTATGTGCAAGAATCTCCAGTTGACATCAATTCCCATGTGACCTTTGTCCTAAAGCTTTTGACCACATGAACCTAAGTTCAAATGGCAGCACTGACCCTCCTCTGATCCACCTACTGGAATACAAATGTGACCACAAAACCTTCAGAAAATGTTCAGATTCACAGGAATAAAAGGGAAGAGATGTCCAGTCAGGAGATATGGACAGGGAGCTGGACACCTAAGAAAGGTGCTTTCCTGAGGTACCTCCAGGGAGGAGACAGGAGGGAGCACATATCATATATGATATAAGAAGTCCACTTCCTGATGTGACACACAGCTGCAATCCCAGCTGCTCAGGAGGCTGAGGTAGGATGAACATTTAAGTTTGGGGGCAGCCAGGGCAACACAGAGAGACCCCAGGCCAAAAAACAAAAATCCAATTCCTGATCCAACATGAAAGAGAGTTAAGAAAATCTTCAGAAGTAGAAAAATGCAGCTATAATGCAACCTGCACACAACCATGAGTATCTGCCCTGTGGTCTATTATAACAGCAGAAATCTGTGCCCTTTTAGGGCATTTGCACAGGTGAAATTCAAGTATACACATCATGTAACACTATCGGATGATCATAAATGTTGAGTAAAACCTCTGGGAAAAGTCAAGGTAGGGGGAAATCCGGTTTTAAAGGTATTAAACATCTCTGATTCATAAACCATCCCATGGCAATGAAGCAACTATCATTCTGCCCAATTTCCCTACAGACACAATAATCTGCTTCTTTGTCACCTCAATCCATTTTCAAATGGATTAACTGAGGATCAGGATATTCAGTAACTTTTTCCAAGTTCAGAAAAGTAGAGCAGAATCTGGATTTAGATCTCCCTGACTTTAAAGCCTGTGTTCTTTCCATAAAACTTTATTAATCTGCGACTCTGGTGTAAATTAACTTTGCAACCATTTTCTTGGAACACACTCAGTTAAGGCAGAGATGATGCACAAAGCATGAGGGATCTACAGTGAGGACAGAGGGTGATGCTGCAAAGGACTGGAGATGTAAATTTGAACTTTCCCTACCAATAGCACTTCTTTCTGGATGTTGGCAATAACAGCAAGTGGAAGGACTGGGGTGGGGGTTGGGAGAGATGTGATACAAAGGGCCAAGTCGTTCAAAATGGGATAATTGAGTGCATATGGCTTGCCTAGAAATCCTAAATAAAGCTGCTCTGTAATTCTAATGCCCCAAGGCCAACATAACATAGACCAACAGGCCTCCCGCCTTTCAATATTCAAGCTGACTTATGAAAGAGCATCACCCTTAACAAGGGCAACTTTAAAACTGCAACAGGAAATAAAAGCCTTCTCCCTGAAACATAGAGTCAAGCTGCCTCCTCAGATACAATCAAACTCCTGTGGTGCAGAATCGCTAGGGGTAAAAAATTATCCCTGTTTAAAAAAAAAAAAAAACTCCTATAGAAGCAGGGCAAAATTAGAAATAGATCCCCTTACCCCCACAGGACGTGAGAAAGGAGGCTTGTTTCCATTCTAGAACATGCTTAAATAGTACATAATGACTTCTGGTAATGTTTAGCTTTGATTTCTTCAGGTTGTGAATCTAAGGAAGTGG